GTTGGGGGAGATCCAGGGGGCCTCTGGCAGGTGGGGCGGTGGGCAGGAGGCTCGTCCTTCTGGGTGAGGTGAGGCAAGGTGAGGGTGCCATTGTCACAGGGCAAGGTGAGGCAGGGGCCGGGGCGGCTGCTGCCTGACCCCATCAGCCGCTGCACACAGAGGCCAGTGAGCGCATGGATGCTGGGATGCATTTGGCCATGTGGGACCTTGGTGACTTAGCAGGCGGTTGGTTGAAGAGGGACGGTTGCCATCTCCGGGGCATGGCGCGCGTGCCCACAGAAAGGGCTCTGAGTGCCGCCTCTGGCATGCTTGCCATAGGTTCGCCACCACTGCCCTATACCATTTCGGACAAATGGCTGCCCAGTCTCTTCTTAAAAACTTCCAGTGTTGGAGCATTCACCGCTTCTGGAGGCAGGTTGTTCCACTGGTTAATTGTTCTAACTGTCAGGAAGTTTCTCCTTAGTTCTAGGTTGCTTCTCTCCTTGATCAGTTTCCATCCGTTGCTTCTTCTCCTGCCTTCAGGCGCTTTGGAGAATAGCTTTACTCCCTCTTCTTTGTGGCAGCCCCTGAGATATTGGAACATTGCTATCATGTCCCCCCTCGTCCTTCTCTTCGTTAAACTAGACATACCCAATTCCAGCAACCGTTCCTTATATGTTTTAGCCTGCAGTCCCCTAATCATCTTTGTTGCTCTTCTCTGTACTTTTCCTAGAGTCTCAGCATCTTTTAAATTATTTAAAATATTTAGATTATTATTACTAATTATTGTTTATTTGCCACCTGTCTCACCAACGGAACTCTGGGCGACTTACAAAGTTAAAATCTATCTATCTATCTATCTACCCATCTTATCTATCTATCTATCTATCTATCTATCTATCTATCTATCTATCTATCTATCTATCTATCTATCTATCTATCTATCTATCTATCCATCCATCCATCCATCCATCCATCTATCTATCATCTATCATGGCATCCGGCCCTCTCAATTCCTGGCAAATAGATGGGGAAGAAATGGAGGTAGTGACAGATTTTATTTTCCTGGGTTCCAAGATCACCTCAGATGGGGACTGCAGCCAAGAAATTAAAAGACGCTTACTCCTGGGGAGGAAAGCTATGGCAAATCTAGACAGCATACTAAAAAGCAGTGACATCCCCCTGCCAACAAAAGTCCGTTTAGTCAAGGCCATGGTTTTCCCAGTTGCAATGTATGGCTGTGAAAGTTGGACCATAAGAAAGGCTGAACTCAAAAGAATTGATGCCTTTGAACTATGGTGCTGGAGAAGACTCCTGCGAGTCCCCTGGACTGCAAGGCGATCAAACCGGTCAGTCCTAGAGGAGATCAACCCTGACTGCTGTTTAGAAGGCCAGATCCAGAAGTTGAAACTCAAGTACTTTGGCCACCTAATGAGAAGGAAGGACTCACCGGAGAAGAGCCTGATGCTGGGAAAGATTGAGGAAAAGAGAAGAAGGGGTCGACAGAGAATGAGGTGGCTGGACGGAGTCACTGAA